TGCTCGTGCGGGGCAGGGTGGGGTGGGGCCGAGGGAGGGGGGGGCACTGGGCGCTCCCTTCCTCCTCTGCTTCCTTCCCCTGCGCGTGCTCAGCCCGATCTGAGCATGCGCAAGAGAAGGAAGCAGAGGGACGGTCCGACTGGAACACTGGGGCGTTTTTTCAAGGTATGATATAGGTTATGGCACAGGAATATGTGGGTGACAAGAACTGCTAGCTGCTGATAAAGGGAGTTAGAGTGGAAAGGACAACATACTCATAACGCGGTACACATCAGTTAGGCGTTGATTTCAGCAAATGATATCAAGGGGAAGGTGGAGAATGCGACGGCGGGTGACAGGAAATGATAACTGATAGGGCCTGATAGAGAACGATGCAGTTGTTGTTCAATCAAATGCTGGAGCCTCTACACCACGAAATTATGGAGTTTTAGTGATAGCGATTGATGACGGGTGACAAGCAATTTTATCAATTGATAAGTAAAGATAAGGGGACATTCTCACGACATCTCTGACCACTACACTGCCAAAAAAAGCCTCTCAGTAAGCGAAATTTTCCCACAGCCATCACTCCTTTGATAGCACTAAAAAATGTACTCATCCCACTAGGGGGGTATATACTTCGCCTGAAACAGGAAGTTTGGAAAAATCAAAAACTTCAATATTGGAACACACTTTATGCGTTCAGTGAGTATTTAACTTTTTTTGCTTTTCAACTTTTAATCACTGATGAGAACGAATAACGAAGTAGTTTGTGAGATATTCACGAACGCAGCCTAAATATTGTCATCTGCAGCCATTCATGCAACCTTAGCAGGTGGATTGCATGTTAATGACAAGTTAATCGCCCATCGTTGGTGTTGTGATGCAGGTAATAAAAACGGAATGTGTTCATCTACTGTGCAACACATATTGATATTCTGTACTTCCTATATACTTCTAAGATCTACGTATAGAATGGGCGTTATGGCCGAAACCAGCAGGCCTCTGCAAATATGAGGGGTGCAGATTTCGCTAGGTTACTCTGTCTATTATGATTCGACCACTAGCGCGCAATATGAGCAGCTCAGGCAACTTAGGCTGCGTTTATACTTTGCGGCAGCGTAGCGTAGCGCTTCCAGCGTACGCCAGCGGCAGTGCCGAAGAGAGGATGCATATCGATCTAGCTTCACCAGCGTCACCAGCGGCAGCGGCACGCTGGCGTAGCGAGGGCACGGGAAGCATAGCTATCGATCTAGCTTCACCAGCGTTTCTCCAGCGTTTTCCCAGCGCTTCCAGCGACGGGGCTAGAGAGGGGCTAGAGAGCACTGGACGGAGGAGAGTACAAAGTACTCTCCTCCGTTCAGTGCTCTCTAGCCCCGTCGCTGCAAGCGCTAGCGGGGCTAGAGAGCACTGAACGGCCGCTGGGAGCGCTGGGAAAACGCTGGAGAAACGCTGGTGAAGCTAGATCGATAGCTATGCTTCCCGTGCCCTCGCTACGCCAGCGTGCTGGTGACGCTGGTGAAGCTAGATCGATATGCATCCTCTCTTCGGCACTGCCGCTGGCGTACGCTGGAAGCGCTACGCTACGCTGCCGCAAAGTATAAACGCAGCCTAACAAATTCCTTTCCGTGCGCCTGGCGAAGCCAGGCCAGCTCGGCGAAGCCGAGCTGAAAAGAAGGAGGAGAGCTCGGCGTCAGCCGGGCGATCCGACTGGTAAACATATAAACCACAACAAAGTTACTGGTTTATAGAATAGAAGGTTGCTCCCCGCTTTCTCAGCGGAGGTCGTTGGGGGAGATTCCGCGAAAGTGGGGAGACATAGATGCAGAGAGGCAGAAGCATAGAGGCGAGGGGCACTGATAAAGAAAAAGAAAGCGGAGATCCACTGGGGAAAAATCTCCCCTTCGAGGGGAACTATAGCATACGGCCCCAGAAAATAACGTGACTATGACTCGCCGAATAGAGGCCTCTTCCGAGATACAACGCTAAAACCTGCATTATGTCAATAGTAACAACGTTTTGAGACACGTCGTTGACGTTCTATGTGATCTTAATAACCGACCATCCATCTCTCGATAGGTAATGAACCCAACCGCATACCTGCTCTATATCGACACCCTAATGTTTATCACATCTCACTGAGTAGCTTTTATATTCAGAGGGCATGACGCAAGACCGCATTACTTGGTGTATGGTGTTCACAGCGATTGATTCAGGCGTTATTTGTTCCATACTCCTCGCTCTCACAACAACACACGTCTAGCCGTTTCCGCTTCCTTCTCAATTTCCGCGCAATTTCCGCGCTCAGTGAAGGCCCCATCAGCGTGAAGTTGCACACCTAAATGTGCGACCTAACCTCCTGCTACACATCGGTAAGTGGCCAACATTACTGGAATAGGGGAGGTGCAAAGCAATCGTCCGCTGAGAGCGCTGCTGGGCATGGCAGCGACGTCGCACTCGCGAGTATATAGTTGTCGAGCGTGTGCCCTGCATTGGGGAGACAAGCAAGAGAATCGCAAATAGCCGCTTTGCCGTGCGCGGCAGTGGGCGCGACGAAGCGGCTATTGGCGATTTCCTCATTGAACTTCCCTTTCAATTGAAGCATCGTATTCTATGTGGACAAGCATTTCGTAGACACTTAATGTCTATTTTTGCTCATACATTGTCTATTCTCGACCAATACCACCTAAAATCGTCGTCATTAGCGGGCGCGACGTCGCACGCGACGCCCACTGGCGCGGCGAATTACGATTCTCTTGCCACATACCTCCGCATTGTGTTTTTGTCCCAACACTAGGGACATTTTAATTTGATTGCGATGTAAAATATCCGCCTCCGCGTTAGCGCTACGTAAAAAGTCCGCTTCTGGACGCGGCAGGAACCAACATCAGGTTTTAGCTCTGCTCTTCGCGCGTTATATCGCGCTGGTAAGGGCGATGTTCAGATGATTGTTTTCTACAGCACCCTACGAAGTGTCCCCTAATCAACATCCTATACGAGAAGTAGCGACTTACTTCCTAATATTGATGGGAGCAACGGCATCCGCTTCCTGCAGAACGCTGGAGTACAGCTGCCAGTTGTAGCACCTTCACCTTCAACACCCAGGCGTACACACCACTTCGTGAGGCCTGAGACTCGAAATGAACCCGTCCTGAAAGGTTTGTTGTTTATCTACATACGTACGATAGCTTATTCGGGTGGTAAGGAAACCTACGGAACCTCTTCATTTCTATATATCTCCCGGTATTTCCGGCTGTGCTTGCCGCCCTTGCAGAATCAACACCATTCAATGAGCGCTCTCACAAATTTGGACCCGCCCAACACTTCCCTTCTTTCACAGCAGAGAGGATGCGGACAAGACGTTGGAGTTGCGGCGGCATAGATTTGAAAGGGGGAAGGCGTGCTACCGCTACGTGGTAAACAGTGATTAAACCAGAGTTCATGAAGGATTCGAGAAAATACGTGGAATAGTTGGAGAACAGAATTATCAAACGTGAGCCACGAAACGAACCTGAATAAGCCTACGACAACTTCGTTCCCGTATGCTGCCGCATCTCGGATCTCTTGACCAGTGCCTAAGCTGTCATACTTTCAGTAGAATCCTATCGGCTTCTATGTATCATAGTTGCTCACCTATGAAATCACGATGAAATAAAGAACATACACTCGCTAGTTGGGAGCTCGATTAGCATAGGGACGAGTGTCGACGAAAAAGCTCAGCTATTCCCAATGAAATAAACACCCCCAAAACATTTATCCAGTCAGCTCCTTTTGTCTCACCTCCCACCCCAAGGTTGTTTATGGGTACCAGTCCCCTGCCAGGATGATGGGTAGGTCGATCCGCAGAGCGGCTGGCACCCCCCCCCCCCATGTCATGGCATAGACAAGTCGCCTACAAAATACCGCTGAAATTTTGAATGGCAACAGAATGAGTGGCGCATTCCATGGAAGAATGCATCCAAGCGCGAAGTTAATCCCACAGGTAATACAATTTTGACGAAAACATATATTTCCATACCGATGGAGGACAGCTATCATTATTCATAACAAAATCACATTTGAAAAGAAGTTAATCAATAACCTAAAATTTCTACAACATGCAAAAACAGTCTTCAGGCAACATTTGAAAGGGAATACAAACTGAAAAGAAAAAGCAAAGCAGAACAAGTACAGGTGGGGCTATTGGCTGAATCATGCACATTCTTTCATCTTCAACGCTCGCGCCTTCACCAGATCGCAGTGACAGCTTAAGGCCATCGACAAAACTGAAAAAAACCATGTTAAACGCGAATTCGTGTTCAAAGTCGAACTGCCCCTCAGTTCTGGATCCTTTCTATATACGAGGAGCAGCAGCAAAAGTGCAACACTCCCGCCTTCGAAATGCGCGGTAAAGGAGCTAGAGCTTTGTGAAAGCTTGATGTTGCTTATGCCTCCGCACGCCACTCTGTACGCGATACGTACACCACAGCCACGCCACACGCCATACGGCCAGCCATACGCCCGACTATGACCACACAACTGTCTGAGTGGTGTGTTTGCAACGTCAGTGTCGCGTGTTAAACTGCGAAAGAAGCCAAAAGAAATATCTGATAATATAAGCCTTCAGCTCCATTACTGCGCAGTTCTATGCACTATGAGCATCGGATGGGATGCAGTTCTACTGCTGGTGATCTGCCACCTAGTACACTAACAGGATCCGCCCTTTGGTGATGTACAGTGCGCCTTGAAAAGCAGTGGGTACGATTGTTGGAAGCGGGCCGTTGTTGCCAACGTCACTGGTGGAAGAGCTGCGGAGCGGCGTTGTGCCCACACCTCAACTCCCCTTTCGCCTCACCAGCAACCTTTGCAACAACCGCTTGCCCCAGCAATCGCGGACCTTCAGGTAGTGTTCATACTTTGCGACGACAGCGCTTCGGTCGCGCGTTGGACGCGATCGATGCAATCGGAAGCATGCGCATTGATCGTCGAATCGCGCGACCGAAGCGCTGCCGTCGCGAAGTCTGAACCCTGCTTAACGAACATAAAGTAGGTACAGAACCTTTTTCCCTAGTTGATGACGGACAATCCGACCATTTCTCAATTGTATCTAGAGCCCATGTGAAAGTGCGCAGATCCTGAATGTAAAGGATTACTCTTATCATATAGCTAAGCTGTGAAGCAGACAGTAGGATGTTTTCCAACATTTCGCTCATTGGAGCATCACCATGCTAGTTCATTCTATCACTGTCAGTGTGCCTTCTGAGGTTTTTCAGACGGGTAATTTGTTCACAGCGGATGATGAGGCGTGTCCGCTCTCGTCTGGCACGTCGCCAAACGTCGTCTTTACCAGTTTTCGATGGGCATGAGGTAACAGCTGGTAGGGAACGAGTGACCAGAAGATAGGATACAGCCCTGTCGTTTACCAAAAAAAAGAAAAAACCGTCTGGCTCTGAGCGCAGTCGCGCGGACACACCCTACCATCCGTATGAAATCAGACCATATTTGGTTTATTTACGGTAAATCCCTGGTGTGTATAGCGTCCGCATTATATGGATTTTTTGTTGGGTTCCGAAAACGAAACGAATTGTGGGAAGCCCTAAGCCACAGGTCCTTGGCATCATTGTCACGCACTCTAAAGCCCAAAGTAGCATAACCTCTACGACCCCCAAAACCCTTGAAAACCTGTCACGGGAAGGATTGTCCCCGATTTAATTATAGATCCTGCCTTCAATACCGGTCAGAGTGTTGCCAACCGGGCATGATCTCGCTGTGAGGGTCCAGAGGTGTTTTCTCATGGCACACGCCAAGCGACCTATCAAGTTGACGGAGAGGCAAGGGAGGGGAAGAAAGCAGGAAGGAGTAAAGAAGAAGAAAGGGAAAAAAAGGAAAGAGGAGGGTGAAGGAAAGATACCTCGCGGTTGAGAAGTTCCCTGAGACGCCACTCATGCAAATCGTGCCCTACCAAAGCGACTGCCTCATTTTAGTCCCCAGCCAAAACGGACGAATCTGCTGGCCCACTTTTAGTACTTCATTTAGCATCTACAGCCTTATATGTCATTGAATCCTCGGGGCAGGTGGGGAAAAGGTAGGGAAAATCAAAATTAGAAGAGAAAAACGTGCAAAACTTACTTGCAAGATCTTCTCTCTGTCAACTTTTGGCTCAGCGGTTCCTAGAAGGTTCCAGTCGTCATCTTCATGCTCCATTTCTTTCTTTGAAGCTTCGCCACATTCCGAAAGAGGGGAGGACTCTTTCAGAGATACTGTCCATTCGCGTTTACTCTGTTCGTCATCTGATTTTGATGCGTTGGTCTCGGTGGTGACTGAAGCACATTCTCGGAGTCCTTGATGGAAGCTGATGGAAACTGGAGATTCAATAACATCCGGTGTTCTTGTCTACTGCTCAATGAAGCGTGACATGCAGCTTTTACATGCTAAGAGTCTTCGTTTCGGTTTTATTCAGCACTACTTCCGAAATTACGCAGCAAAAATCATCAATACAACTCGCGCTTGCGATTGACGACTTCCGCGTTGTGCCCCTTGTCAATCGTAGCAGGACTCTTCGGTATACGTCCAGCAGTTCCGACTGTTATGGTGTTCCTCCCTTTTCCAGACTCGCGAGCCATAAGACGTTTCAGAAGTGGGCGCAGTGACATCGGTGCCAGAAGTGGCTCTTGCTGACATGGTGTCCGAAGAGTCCTTCACAGTGAGTCCTTCATGAGATCGTGAAATAGTCGACAACTTTTCGTTCTCCATTTTGGCATCTTCACAAATCCCAGCCCCATTTTCCCTCTCTGAATCGATTAACATTTCCTCCCAGTTATGGGATGTCTGCCTTATAGCATATATAGACTTGGCGAATATATGCATGTCTTCCTGGAATGTACAAAATTCAACTCATTTGGCTATTTCACAAAAATCATCCCGAACCTTCGTACGTTCTTTGTCACGATCGACTGCCAGAATCATCACCTGAGATAGAAGATCCGCATCGTCAGCACTGAAGTTATCTGAAAGATCAAGAATCTCGAAGCAGTACAGAAATCAGCGCTACAACTTCTTTTCAGACTTTGTGCAGGACTCGGTAGTTAGATGCTGTAGCACGCAGTCTGGTCCCCCTGCTCTGACATACCTTCGCGCTATGGCCCTCACAGAGTGACAGTTTCGAGACTTCCATATTGTGTAGCCCAACAGACTCGAGGCTCATTCCTGTCATTACGATTCAGTCTTTACAAGTACTTTCGTTATTTTCCGCAACAATCAGAAATATTACGATGATGACCCGAAAACGGTTGTGGGCAGAGTCGGCAAGATATCTCTTTGCTTGCTCAAAACACTCAGTGTCCGCAACCATCAGGAGGCGGCAGAAGTCCTCTTTAGGTAAAAGATGAAGGATAAAGCCGCCTTGATCAGATCCTTTGCGGATGCGCATGCATCTACTTCCATTTCAGGATCGTAGTGGCTTATGGACATGCCAATTGGGCCTATACAATGACTTGCGGTAGCCAGCCGATGTATCCTCCAGACGAATCTGGTACCAATTCGCCGTCCCCGGAGGGTAGAAGGCTTGGTTGGCCTGGGCGGGTGTCGATCTCTTCTAGGGTATTCTAGAAAATATTTTTGACTTCTTCTCCCCTGGAGAATCACTTAGTTATTATAAATTCGTAACTGAATGCCACTAACCAAAAGATACAATTACGTTGAGCTGCTAGGAGCAGTCCAACACATCCACCTTGCAGCAGTGAGCTCAACTGGCAATGTTCCCTAGGTAACTGCAATACTGCCATGCTGATTAGACGTGGTGAGAGTAGCGCAGGGTCGCACCTCTTCTTTGCTTCGGCTACGTCGCCTTTACTCAGCTGTACAGAACCACACCCCACAAACAGACAATCCCACAGGCAAACCAAATACAGCAACCGAGGCCTGCTTCACCGTGGGCAGGGTACAGCATCGTGATGTGTGAGGTGGTGGTGTAGATACGACCCACTCCCCTCCAAAAGAGGAAGTCAGAACAACCCTCCTCCCTTTCCCCAACACCTACCTACCAATTCCCCACATTTTCCAGTCCAGTTTTTCACCCAAAAATTTTCCGTCGTGGGGTGGAGGGTATATAGCCAGTGTCAAACGGGAGGATTTCCCCAACTTCCTACCACTTTTTCCGGATTTCCCGGATATTCTCCTACTTTTCCCCAAAATTATGAAATTTTGTTGTCAAGGGGGGGGGGTATGTAGTGCACATAAAACAGGAAAAATCACGCAAAAGTCAACAACCGAAAAACCAACGCGACAAATTCCTCTCAAAGGCATGTCTGAGTCAATGATGGGAAAGATCGGAAGTTTTCTTCATATTACCAGTGTCCCGCCAACAAGTACGCTGCACTTCTGGGAGATTGGGAGGGGGAGGGGGGGTGAGGGCGTGACTGCGACTGTCATTCAAAGGCGGTGGCGACTGCGGTCGGTCGGTTGAATTTTACCGTTCTGAAGCAATTGTAAAGATGTCTCTGCTCAGCACAAGACAGGGTGATAGTTGTCCCAAATGAGAATATCCCACCCCAAACAGGTCCTACACCGTGTTCAAGTGAAGCACACAGTCACGGCCTCTCCTCTTCAAGATATACAATGTGCACCACAGTGGCAAATTTTCGCGGCGTATAAACACGCAATATGACAGTCACCTTCCTCTTGAGTTGGTTCTACGTTCTAGTTGCCTCTGTAAGCCCTCTTCAATAAAGCTAGCCCTAAAAATGAAAGTGGAGAAGGAAAACTTTACCTCTGATGAAGTTCTCGAAAAGGCTGGAGTTATCACCAGGCCAGGACGAAAGAATCAGAGGAATCTCATGGAGTGTTTGCAAGTTCTTCATCACAACACCACCATCATTCCATGGATACTTAAATGTTCAGTACAATAATATACCTTGGAAGATATGAGTTTCTTAACCCACTTTCGAATGCAAGTTCAAAAAAAATCCTAGGAACTTCTACTCAAAATTTAGGGACTTGGTACCTGTATAGGAACTCTGCCGATCCCATCGCAAAGAGGAGAGATTGCCACTTTTTGATACCACGTGAAGTTCTGAAATAAAATTAGATTGTGGAACGGTATATAAAAAGATAAATAGTAAGAGAGCTGGAAAACTGAGGCACGCGACCTCGCGGCCGTTCTCGACCCCTGCAAGTGCTGGTCTTCTGGGAGGGTGAGCACCTTTAGTTAGAGTAGCATACGGTAAGATACTGTAGCCACCACCTAGCGCATATCCCGAGGCCTGCCTGCGGCATGACCTCACTTAATTGCGCTGACTGCTGACCTCTCACTGGCTGCTCAACGAAACGAGATAAATCGAATCGAATTCATCTTTTAGTAGGATTTGATATGTGAAGATCAGTAATTTCCCAATTCCATAAATATTAGAATGAGGATAAATGTTCGTATCGAAAGAAACCCTGCTTAAATTTATCAGAAATTCCTGTTTTTAGGTGTACCCATACATTGCATGACCTTCCAAGGGCAAATTAATTCTTACAGGATGATCTATCACCAGGGCACATCATTGGTTAGGGACTTTGATCAAATCCGTACGACCTCCCCCCCTTCGACCCGACTACCGTCCCCTGCTCATCGAGCTGTCGAGGAGACAGGGCACATCACTGATTGGGGATTTTAGTCGAGTCCGCACGACCCCCCTTTTTTGAGGTTGGTACGACCGCCCCCCCCCCCCCCCCCTCCGGCCCTCTGTCCCTCCTCATCGAATCGAGCCGTCGAGCGGGGAGGGGAGGGAGGGGGGGGAGGGGGTAAGTAGCACATGTGAAACAGGAAAAGCCGCGAGACCATACAACCTCCCCTTTCCCCAAGTTCCTCCTACATTTTCCAAAATTTCCCCTCAAACTTCCCTACTTTTTCCCAAAAATTTTGCTGTCGAGAGGGAGGGAAGGGGGGGGGGGATATATAGTACGCATGAAACAGGAAAATCATTAAAAGTCAACCACCACTCCCACCCCTCATAGAAAGGCCAGAAAGCCAGAAGTGAATACGACCCCCCCTCCCAACAATGAGCAAGTACGACCCCCCCCCCCCTTTTCTTACAACGTCCGTGAAGCGAGAAAAATCAACTGTCGAAATGAATTTCTGAATTTGAAAAACATATAGCTGGATGAGAACAACATTTCTATTTCTGTTTATTTGGATAAATAGAAAAATAGAAAATAGAAATAGAAATGAGAACACACTATTAACAGAAGACTTTTGCAGGAGGGTGGCTAAATACGTAACTAGTAAAACTATATAATTTGTTGAGTAGTGCATTTTATTTATTTCGTTGTAAATCTGGTGCCAGTACAAAGAAATTTCCTTCTCTAACACTCAACCTTGTGAATTGTCGTCGTCAGTATCTCGTTTCGTTGAGCAGCCAGTGAGAGGTCAGCAGTCAGCGCAGCAATTAAGTGAGGTCATGCCGCAGGCAGGCCTCGGGATATGCGCTAGGTGGTGGCTACAGTATCTTACCGTATGCCACCCCAACTAAAGTCCGCCACCCCTTCTGGGAGGTTCGAGGATGAGGGGTTACCAACAGCTGCTGCTCGACGCTTAAGCCAAGGTGGTCGGCCCCGCATCAAGCTGCTAAGATCAAGGTGAGCAAGCGTTCTGCCTTAGATCCATACCGTTTAGTGATTTACTGGCTTGTTGAAAGTCTTGAGGACTGTTGAAGTGTTCAGGCAAACAAGAGCTTCGACGGTCTCATTAGTGGAACCAAACTCCTCGGGAAATTGAACAACTCTGCCAGGACCCATAGACTTCCCTGGCAAAAAGTGGCCAGCGCTATGGTGCAGCTGCGCCCTACAGTGGTGTGCTCAACGACAACGCGGGAAGTGTTTACAATTCTTTGAGGTTCTTGAACCTTTTACTGAGTGTATCGTCATTGCAAACACATCTGGTGCTCTTTTATGACGATTCTTTCATGCACATAATGTGATGCCATCATTGAGTGGGATATAGAAACCACTTAGCGTAGAGGGAAGTTTATTTCTACTTTCGCATGCAGGGCACATCGTTCTTGGGGAATCCCCAATAGGATGGGGGGGTCGCATTGGGGATGAGGAAAATTTATTTTGACAGTTGATTTTCTCGCTTCACGGACGTTGTAAAAGGGGGTCGTCGTACTTGTCCACTCTTGAGTGAGAGAGGGGGGGGGTCGTATTTACTTTTTGGCCTTCTAGGAGTAGTGGTTGACTTTTCGTGATTTTCCTGTTTCACATGTGCTATAAATGCCCCCCCCCCCCGCTCGACGGCTCCATTCGATAAGGAGGGACAGAGGGGAGTCGTACCAACCCCCAAAACAAAAAAAGGAGGGGGGGGATCGTACGGACTCGACTAAAATCCCCAACCCCCAACCGATGATGTGCCCTGTTCGCATGGCCACTGTATTACTCGCCATTCAATTGTTTCACAGCAGCAAAGAAAGAAGCCGGTTTTTTTTTCTACATCTCCCCTTCTTATTTTCGTCCATTCCTACGTCACTACTTCATCGACCCTACCTCACTCATGAGTTTTATGTTAGAACTGATGAAGTAGCAGTGGCTCCTATGAGGTCAGGTGCGGAAAAAACCATCTGTGCCTTGTAGCAGACTGTCTCTTCCTTTCTAATGACACAACATTGAGAACACTGCATAAGTGAGCAGGACACAAGGGCATACCTGAAGTTTGCAGAAGATCTCATTCAGGTCCACAGAAAGTGTTTTGTTATCTGATAGAAGTTCGCGTACAGCAAGAAATATTGATTCTAGAAAATGATTTTCATTTAGGTTTTGTGCCGAGAAGTTTCGTTAAATAAAGGCAGCGCAAAACCGAGTGAAAAATCGTTCTTACTTCAAAATCTCAATTTCAATATTTATTTATTAATCCAATATTGCACTCAATGTGCTCCTTTACAAAAAAGAAACGATCAACTAGAATACACATCAGCAAAAGCGTAAAAGGTGCTCGCCAATGTAACTTTAAAACCACAAAACTTTTAATTTATAAATCTGTTTCCTGTTGTTATGCCTTAAAATAGGGTCTAAGGTGGCGTAGCGGCAAGCGGTCTACTTACCACGCGCTCACCGGGTCCCGCTCAGGCCAATCAGGCCTTCTACCCTAAAGGGACGGTGAATTGCTGCTAGACTCTCAGGAGCGACAAAAATACTGATTTATACATCGGCTGGCCGTTGCCAGTCTTGTACAGACCATATACCCACTATGATTCTATGAATCAGAATACGTGGCACAACCCAGAAAGGGACTACGGCAAGTGGTTTATCCCTTTTTCGTTAGCGTTACGAAATCCATAAAAGTACTAGAAAAAATCCAAGAGGTCAGCAGAGTGGAAACAATCGCTTACCTATAAAAGTGTACCTGCTGCCGCACAGAGTCTTGGATGGATCTTCATACTGTTCCAAAGCAAATTTTAACAGATCAGACAGAGAAATAGTTGGACCTGAGTCTATTTCTGTTATCTTAATGTACTGGAAGGTTAGCAATTTGAAGAGTCACACCGTTTAAGAGCTCCTTCTTGAATTTTCTATGCTTGACCAGTGAAGAAATCGCAAGAGCAGCTTTTCCCTTAGCCGGACTGGCCATCATAGGAAAGAACACTTCCGACAAGAGTTGCGACGGTGACAGCGGACTATATTCGCACAGATCTATTAAATAATTATTTTATCATTTTAATTAAACTCAAGTTTTAAAAAAACTTGTGTGTCGGTTTGTATGTATGTAAGTATGTAAGTATGTATGTAAGTATGTATGTATGTATGTAAGTATGTATGTCTGTCCGTCCGCAAAATGTTTCACGGGTTCGATTTACTGGAGGGAAAAACGACCGCTAGGCAAACCGGAAATCGGTTGGTGCAGATGTATCAATGCAATGTTTTGATTTTGATAGCATCCTCCACTATATAAGAACATCGGTAACTCCGAGCGCATTGCACGAGCTGCTGCCGTGGCAGCTGGACGTGTGCTCGTGCGGGGGCAGGGGGGGGGGCACCGAGTGACCCTCTCCTCTGCTTCCTTCACCTGCACGTGCTCAGCGGGACATGAGCATGTGCAAGTGGAGGAAGCAGAGGGGAGGGGATACTGTGGAAGGAACGTGGGGGGGGGGGTAGCCGCACCCTTCGATGTGGAAGCACGCATCTACACATCATCCAATCCCAACACACACAAAGATGAGAAAACAACCGCCAGAAAAATTTCAAATCCTTTTCATTCTATAAACCTCCGTCCGCAAAATGCTTCACGGGTTAGAATTAGTGGAAGGAAGAACGACCGCTAAGCAAACCGGAAACCGATTGAGGCAGTTGTATCACTCCAATGTTTTGATTAGGATAACAGGCCTCCGCTATATAAGACAACCATTCGGTACACCGGGCCATTTGCAAGCGCACGCTGCCTGGCCGCGCTAAGGAGGGGGGGAAGCCCAGTGCCCCCCCCCCTCTTTGCTTCCTCCCCCTGCGCGTGCTCAGCCGGATCTGAGCATGCGCAAGGGAAGGAAGCACAGCCGGGCGGTCCGACTGGAACACTGGGGTTTGTTCCGAGGCATGTTATAGGTTATGGCACAAAACATGTGGGTGACAAGAACAGCTAGCTGCTGATAAGGGGAGTTAGAGTGGAAAGGTCAACACACTCATAACGCGGGACACAGCACCAGTTGGGCGTTGATTCCAGCAAATGATATCAAGGGGAAAGTGGAGACAGCGCGAAGAACCGGCATGATCAGGAAGGGTATGACGGTTGACTAGGAAGCCTGAATAAGAGATTTTCTGCAGTTGTTGTTCATCACTGCTGGAGCCTTTACACCACGGAATTATGGAGTTTTAGTGATAGTGACATTGATGGCGGGTGACAAGCAATTTTATCAATTGATAAGTAAAGATAAGGGGACATTCTCACGACATCTCTGACCACTATACTGCCAAAAAACCCTCTCAGTAGGCGAACTTTTCCTCCAGCTATCACTTCTCTGATAGCACTAGAAAGTGAACTCATCCCACTAGGAGGGGAATGCAAATATGCAACCTTAGCAGGCGGATTGCATGTTAATGACAAGTTAAATGCAGCCATCGTTGGTATTGTGATGCAGGTAATAAAAACGGAATAGGTTCATCTACTGTGCAACACATATTGATATTCTGTACTTCCTATATATTTCTGAGATCTACGTATAGAATGGGCGTTATGGCCGAAACCACACGCCTTCCGCAACTCTGAGGGGTGGAGTAGATTTCGCGTAGGTATACTCTAAATTCTATTATGATTCATTACCACTAGCGCGCAATATGAGCAGCTCAGGCAATTAACAAATTCCATCCCGTTATGATGTGCGCCTGGCGAAGCCAGGCCAGCTCGGCGAAGCCGAGCTAAAAGAAGGAGGTCGGCGTCACCAGCCGGGCCGATCCGATGATTATTTTAATAAGATATCACTGACGATGAGCAGGCGCTCCATACTGACGTCAACAAGGAGAAACTCACTTGAAATGAGGAAAACAGCATCCTTCTTGAAAAGCGTGATAGGCATCTCTTCAGCCATTCGCTTTGCTGCGGCATATAAGCTTGCCTTGTTGGACAAATCCGACAGCAAAATATCACGGAGGCAAGATGGAAGAAGCTCAATGCACTAAAAAGTTGAGCGAACAGGGTTTCACCACTGTCGTTTCCGCAGAGCTCCACTAGAAAGCGAACTTACCTTAATAGCCTTCAATTTTCTTGTCGATGGGAATGTTTTCTAGAAGTGCACCAAGGAGCTCCTCCGTACCGTAAACCGTCGAGCAGAACAGAAATTGCGTACTGAGTTCCATAGCCAGCTATAACATTGACTCGTTTTTCAATTTACTCTTAACTGCCCACTTTTAGAAGTTCAGGTCATGTTTCGATCAAAGTCTTTCTGAGTATAGGTTCGGCCAGGACTTTGTTTCCGGACAACCTTGACCCCGCGAGCGCGGAAAAACATCCGCTTGAAGAAAAACGCCTGCTGTCCGTGCCACAGGCCAGCTCTGGCGCCGGTGCCTGAGCGGCTGCACCAGAAGTCTTCAACCTCCAGAAGTGGTTTTCATGTACCTAGGGTTTTCATGTACAAAGCGTCGAGCTAATCGGAAGACAAAGTGCTGTCCAAATCTGCCTCCCCCCTCCTCCCCCGGGAAAGTTCGCCCGAATATAGCTTTTTGATTTTTGAAAAGTCAAACGGCAAAAGGTAAATAGCGCAGAGGCATTATTTCTAAAATGAACCAGAAAAATCAGAAGTATAAAAAGGGAGGGAAAAGAAGAAAAACCGGGATATGAAAAAGGAAGGAGACGAAATTCCACCTGATCGGGACTGCTGGTGTTTCGGACGAGCTGCACCCAACTCCTGGCAGTTTTGGTCATCTCACGCTTACCCAAATGTCGCGCAAGGCATCTGTCACGTTCATCGGGTTTCAGTCTGCTCAGAAGATTCGGTATGATCTGAAAATGTTCCTAAGAAAACTGATTGCATAGAGAAACGATCCTTACCGTCATAGTACACTTCAACGGACGATATCAATGCATCGTTCCATTTGAGGTAAAGCTTCCATAATACTTAAACGGTTTGATTATCATATATCAGAATAAAAAAGAAAAAGGGCACTGGTCGACTTGATGGGGGCATTTTGCAGGTTCCCATGAATCACTGCTGATATCTTAAACAGACCTATAAATTCCTGTCAAGATGTGCAGTAGCAGGAGCCTCGCTTACTCTTGACAAGAGTCTAAAGATCTCACCATTGTGGGACGTTTACCAAGATCTTCAATTCTGTGGAACAGGAACAAGCAAAACTAGCAAAAGCGCAAAGTGCTCCCTCCAAGCCGAACGGCGCTGAAAAAAGTATTGCAAACCAGTCAAAGTGTTCCGTAGTAGTTATGAGATGTGGATGATGTTCCACTAGCCAAGCATACTCTCCAAAACCAGAACTCATCGACTCGCGTATTATCTGAATGTCAAAGGTCCTAGAGGCAGGGGATTTACCGAGTAGCTCTTTCACAACCCTTTCCAAATCCGGGTTAATGATCAGTGTGCTTTGTAAAAAATATAATTCCTCGCAGAATTTCTGGAACCGAGGAATAAATAACATTACACTTTTTGCACACCTTTCCAGGAAAATTAGGTCTTTTCTGCTCTCTGGGGACAAGGGGCCCCCACTTGCAGACTTGGGCGGAGTCGTCAAAATCAATACCTACCTGGTGTTCTTTGCTGATTCTCCAATTCTATCAAAACATAAGCGTGACTTATCAAAACATAAGCGTGACTTAACTACGCTTACTTAACTGGAAGTTAATTTGCCTCGGCATGATGGTTCCAGTGAAGACAGAAGAAAACCCACCGATGTGATGTCCTTTTCCGCTATTGCCATTCCAAGTTCAATCTTTTCAATGACGCTCTCTGCCGTGTCCAACACACCAAGCTATAACTAAGATTTGTACAAAGAAGAGCAAACGATGTGGAAGGTGCCTGCGAACCTGCTTAAGTAACTGCTTATCATTCATCTTTAAAGCCTCCAGTGTTTCTTTCATAACCTGACATTTGTCGAGCCAACGACATCTATCTCTTCGCTTTAGTTCCGGTACGTCACAAAAATCATCTGCTATGGCTAACATCATAGTAAGCTCCTTATAGGGATCAATATCCTGGAAAGAAAGCTCGATTTGTAACGAAATCGAGGAAACCAGCGTGAATACCTCCGAATGGAATATGTCCAAATCCAGTCGTCTAAAGTCGATCAAATTCTCAGCCAACAGCGCTTTTTCCGATAAAAGCGGCACCAAAATTGATGCGCATATCCAAACAAGTTCCTACAACACGCTTGTTATATAATTATTCTCAAGCCTCAGAGGACATCGACCTCATAAAATTGATTCAAAAGGTCCACGTCTATGCCAGGAACGTCCAGATCTCGCACAGTATTGAATTCAAACTTGCTTAATCGAGAGCAGAGTTGATAGAAATCTTCTTTAGAAACTACGACGCAGTCTGAAATGAGATTATACGATAAATCTGCGTACCTATCGAAGCAGTGACGAAGAAAGGGCGGTGACAAGTTGCGAACGTATGTTCCAGAGAGTATGATCGAATCTTGCTGGAAGGTTCATTCCATGCTGAGCGTATGGGCGGAGCCACGTAGACCATTCAGATGATAAAAAGCAGGGGCGCAACGATCACCCAATGACGAAAGCATTATGATCCCAGTGACTTCGCTCAGAGTGAGCTTGCAGTTAACGTTCAATTCAGCAGAGCCCTCACAACTCCGGTCACTTAGTTGCTAACAGATTCGCTTGGAAACGTAAAAACCCGAATTGCAGGGCCGGTTGTGCAACTCATTATGGGGGTGTTCGAAGGCCACTAAGATTCCTGACGTATGAAAGTTTGGGTCCTATCCTAATCCAGGGCACATCGTATGTGTGGGGTCCCGCTGACGGGATAGTGTTTGACTTCATAGGAAGAAAGAAAAAAAATGTTCCCTTTTCGGGTTTTTCCTTTTTCAAGGGCGCTGGGTATAACCCCTCCCCCTCGATGGCATTTTTTTGAGAAGAAAAAATGAAGACATCAAAAAAAGCTTTGGAAAAATGGTAGGAAGTTGAGAAACTTCAGGAAGATGGTTTGGGGAGGGGGGGGTCGTACCAAAGGAGGGAGTTTGTGATGGTGGGGATACTCCGGGGGACAAGCAATGTAAAACTCTGTTTTTACAAACCCGGACGATTCCAAAGGCAATCACCCGATCCCATACACAAAGCTGACAGTCCCGGGATTCAAGAATCGACCTACAGAAATCTTGCGCGCAATATGCGACGCCACTTATCACTACACCACCTCCTTGTTTTTTCACTAAGAATATTCCTCATACAACATTTAACCTACTATAGATCTTTCATCCGGATGAAGAAAATCCACCATCACACGGAGCATACTGTTCGCTCTGAAGTCCACCCTTTCTTCATGGGTCAGTTCTTTGACAAGATCTTCGAGTATCTCCTCAAAGGTGCTTTTTTGTTGCTTAGCCTGGTTGTGCGATGCGCCTTCATCAGTCCGCGATTCATGGACGGAATGACTCAGCCACTGTTAAAGGAGACGTTCCTTCTAGGAGCTGACCGTCACCAGCCGAAGTGTCTTGTTCTGTTCCCTTAGTATCAGAAGGCGTGTCAGCGTTGGTTATTGCTCCAGACACACCTTTTGGCTCTGGAGGAGAGGTCATTGTTTCACCTGGAGTCAACGCTGTATTCTGCTCTCTCGTCACATTATCATTTGTCGGTGTATTAGATTCTGAGTTTGCTGACATTTCGACAGTATCATCAGAATCGGCGTTCTTAGCAGGAGGGCAATCTGCCTCCGGATGGCCCTTTTTGTCATCCTTCCGAATTTCATCTCTGCGCCTATAGTCCTTCTTCTTGTTCCTCTCTTGCTCGAAACAGCGTCTTCTTGAATTGTCAGAGTGAGGATAAAGCGTTGAGGAAGGATGCAGGCTCCCTGAACTGTGCACGGAACATGCGAGACCTGATCAGCTGGCCTGTGAAACTTGTAAAATGTAACGAGACCCGTCCAAGATTTTGACAGACCTTCAACTCACCATTTCCCACCGGGTGGAAATAACTTGATGATCTAATTGGCCTCTTTGCGCACGGATAACGATGACATTACCATCCATATGTTGAATATTATCACTGTAATTGACAGGTATGATCAGATCTAAAAATTTGTCAGCCTACTTTCGGTAAGGAGTTCTTTGGTGCAATTGGTTTTGAATGATTCCCTTATTTCGCGCAGCCTTCAGACTTCGGCGAGCGGCAGAGCTTCTTGGCTTTCGACGGCGATCGATGGCGCATGCTTTTCGACGCATGCACGCGCGGTCGACGCGGAACGTCGTGAGGGTTTGAAACTGCCTTCGAGGGAATTGGTTCTCGTACACGGAGCTGGAATGCTCAGCATTTTCTAACGCGCCCATTCTTCCTGCTTTTGAGGCACTTTGGTACTCGCACCTAAAGCTGATCTTACTAGGAATAACCGTGTATGAAAAACGAAGATTTCACGGGCAGTCTGGCTTTGGGGGCAGGGTGTTGGTATGTGTGCGTTTTCGCTAGTTCCATGGACATGCGAGAGCCACCAAGTGGAACCTATGAAATGTGGAACCGGCGCGAAGTACACAGTCAAATGACTTTGAAAGTAGCGACCACTTCACTCCCCTTCTAAGGCTGAAACGTAAACAAACAGTAGGCACGAAGCGCAAAATGCCGCCCGCACCAACCAAGCGAACTGTCCGAAAACAACATTAGTCTCTCTATGGTTCTTCATCATGTGTGATTAATTGGCCACTTCTAGACTTCCAGTCCCTGTTCGAATTGTTCTCGATGTGGTAGGGATCGTACCGTGAAGAACCCTTCTGAAAAGAAAAAAAAAATGAAAAAAATATCCATAGTCAACATAAAACCAGTTTCAAAACAGTAAGCATCAACGAGCGAGCTACCTGCACGTTTGAAACATTTCTTGGCTGAAACAAGCTTGGCACATTGGTGTCACTTGCACTTACATAGGTTGTAAGTGGGACGTAAGGTCTCAGCCAATTCGGACGCTGATGCTTTCGCTACAAAAAAAAAAAAACAAAATTCTTAGGAAGTCCATAGTCAACTATGATGGTCGTAATCTACGATGAATTCTCCGGTCGTTATCGCTTCGCTGCCTGCGACTGTCGCCATGTGATTGCATCACACGCGTGGAGTAGTTGTGTGTATTGAGCTGAAGACTATTGGGATTTAAGTTCCCCTAGTAAAACAAAAGAAATAACTGAGAACTCTTTCCCCAGTGAATTCGTTAAAAAGCGCAGTTCGGCGACGGAGGGAGGGGCATTTTGCACTTTCGCTGCTTCACTTGTTCGGTTTACAAGTCTCACTCTGGTGAAACCTGTGAAGCTGGAGCAAGCTCGTCGAGCCATCATGGTAAAACCTGTTATTTCACGTCAGCTCGCAAAATAGCTCTTTGGATGAGTCGACACCTCGAAGGGAACTAGCAAAAGTGCGAAATGCTCACACCCCGCAACCCAGAGAAATGCTCCTGTTGAAAATTAACCTATTGGGACACTGATTATCAATAGCTGTATTTCAGGAAATCCAAGGAACGGCATCTGGGAAACCACCAAAGTGCTTGGAAGGTTGTTGCTTCACGCATCGCAGCACCGCCATGTTAAATCAATTAGGTCTTGGTGCAAATGTACACACGTGGCGTCTTTTGTAGTGCCGCTTCGGCCGCCCTCGCTGGGGTGCTGAGCTGGACCCACTATAACGAACGTGGAAGGTTTTGATAAATATCGGCAGGGTAGGGTCGGCGGAACCGAACCGGGAATACAGCGCTGTCGCGGAAACGGCCGGCTAGGTAACTCTCAACTGGAAAAGTGGAGGTGCGGTCATGGCTAGCGTTTCGCCGGTTATCCGAAGGCGGCAGCGCCGGATTCGCCGGTTCGGTCTGCCAACTCTACCCATTGAATACTTATCGGAATATTTCCACTGATGCGCTTGTTCAGTCCATTCCGCAGAATCGCAGACTAAGGACAACACCCGAGCATGAGGTTTTTCAGAAGAATCAGAAGAAAGAGCTCAAATAAGGAGTAGGAGCTAAACGGCAAAATTGATGAAGAAAGCCTCAAAAAAACGGAAATGAGCTATTGCTAGTAAACTTATTAAACTGTGAGTTAAACGTAAGAGTAATTGCTCTGACCTCGGTAGAACGCGAATCCGGGACTGTGCTTGCCTTTCAGGTTCCTCTGATGTCTTTTCTCCGACCGGAGCCTTTTCCTCTAGCCTTCTTTTCTGAAGAAGGATGAAACTCGTTTCGAAAGCCAACAAACTACAAAAAATGAACCGCAAGTGGCAAAAGTGGAAATTAAGAAACCAAACAACTCACAAAAGTTGCGGAGGCAACTGCGCTATCTTCCAAGGTTGTCGATTTTCCTTCCGAAGACTCATTCTTAGAAGGCCGTCTTTTCTTCTTCTCTGATAAGTTTGTTCCACAATCGCTTCGCTTGTGTGTTCTCCATCCTCTTCGTTCGCGTTTGTCTTTCTCTTCTGAGAGATGGGCCTAAAAAGCTCGATCATTGAGTGATTAAGGGCACTACAGCTACAGCCAGGGCACACCATAGTTGGGATTCCTAAAGCAAAGCAGCAGAGAAGGTGTCGTATCTCGTTGCTGGAGGGAGGAGGGATCGCAACTGGGCTCAAAGTGTTCCTTATATGCTCACTTCCCCCTCCTGATCGACACTTCAGCAGTCAAAACATCTCCCTCGGTAGACTAACATCCCCTCGCTCCTTGCCTGATTTTCTGGGAGGCCATCCTAAAGAAGGAGTTTCTTCATTGAAAGGGTGTGCCCCGCTTTTGAAAGCTCCGCAAAACCGCGCCTCCGACAGAACTGGCAGACAACTGTAAATAAAGAGAGACTGTGATTGAAAATACATAGACAAAGAAAAATATCCCGGAAAGAAACTTTAAACCAACTTTCTTCGCAGTTCCGGGCTCACTTGCTCGTCGATTTCTCCCAGTACTGTAATACTTCTCTGTATTCTCCGAATTTTTGCTCTCGAGGTGTTGACCTTCACAACTCTTCTCAGCATCCTTTTTTGGGAAAAGAGTACCCGCCAGTTCGCAGGCGAGGAGTTCGAAAGCTTTCTGAAGTATAACGATTTTTCACTGCAGCATTGGACATGCAACATTCAATTCGTACCCTATCAAACGAAAAT